ATTCACCAAAATTAGAGAATTAAAGATATCATTACAAAATGAACAAATCTGAGAGAGGTCCACATGTAGTACCTATATATGTACATATTTTGTAATATCAAAGCAATTGGACTTGCGGTTTTTAACAAGAAGTTGAAAATATCACTTTTTACCAAAAATTACAAAAATATTCACCAAAATTAGAAAATTAAAGATATCATTATGAAATGAACAAATCTGAGAGAGGTCCACATGTAATACCTATATATGTAATATCAAAGCAATTGGACTTGCGGTTTTTAACAAGAAGTCAAAAATATCACTTTTTAGCAAAAATGACAAAAATATTCACCAAAATTAGAAAATCAAAGATATCATTACAAAATGAACAAATCTGAGAGAGGTCCACATGTAGTACCTATATATGTAATATCAAAGCAATTGGACTTGCGGTTTTCAACAATAAGTCGAAAATATCACTTTTTACCAAAAATATTCACCAAAATTAGAGAATTAAAGATATCATTACAAAATGAACAAATCTGAGAGAGGTCCACATGTAGTACCTATATATGTACATATTTTGTAATATCAAAGCAATTGGACTTGCGGTTTTTAACAAGAAGTTGAAAATATCACTTTTTACCAAAAATTACAAAAATATTCACCAAAATTAGAAAATTAAAGATATCATTATGAAATGAACAAATCTGAGAGAGATCTACTCAAGGTACATATTCACCAAGTATCAAAGCATTCAGGCTTGTAGTTTTCAAGAAGAAGTCGAAAAAGTAAAACATTGACACGGACGCCGGACACCACCGGACAATCACTCATATGATAAGCTCCACTTGACAAAGTCGACAGCAGAGCTAATAAAGTAACACTTTTGAAACAAAAAATAGGTTGAAATATAATTGAATGATCTTAAGTTAAGTTTCAGACATAATTGTAGTAGTTCCAACAGTTCTTGGGATAATTAAGAACATACATTATTAGCACTTGAGTAACATCCATTGAACATTATATTAAATCAGTGTTATGAATATGTGGTCATTGGATGTCATTATGTTTTAATTTATGCAAACAACTTATGCACTGTTATTCAATCTGAATAGCAAGTAATTCAATTTCATGGTGAGACAACAATGGTTGCAATAACTAACCTTTCCTTTGTATCCCCTGCTTTACAACAGCATTTTTTTCCTGTTCTAATTTGTATCGTCTCACTTGCTCTTCTCTCATTTTACAAAATAGAATTTGTTTTTGTTCCTCAGACAACTCTGCAAGTAGGTCTGGATCAATGTACATATCCCGTATTATTTGTTGCAACATTTTGTAATCTTTCCTCCAATTAGTAATGATGAATAAACCTGATAAAAAGAAATTAAGTAAGATATAATTACAGACCAGATGTTGTATATAGTGTGTATCTATAATACACTACTACAAAATGTTTCAACACACTTGATCAATTTTGGCAAGAAAAATTATTCATACAACACAATGAGAATAACATAGGTTACTACACTGTAACAAATCTTGAATATTATAATAATAACACCTGGTTCTCATGATTAACATAATATAGTTCTTGGATCAGAGATTCACCTCTGTCATTTACTGTAGAATACTTAATTGTGATGACCACAGCAGTGGTAGTCAGAACAGAAATGCTCATATAACCATAATACAATCAACACCTTGAGGGATGGTGCCTAAACGAATGTCAGAACGCTGTGTTGTGACATTGAAATGAATTGCGAACCTTGAACGAAGAAAACATGATGTTTAAGTTTAACTGGTGACCAATTAGATGAGATTGAGAAACGAAAAAAAAATCACACGCAAAAATGTTTGCCACCAATAACAATCGATGTCCTGTAGCGCCGTTCAAATTCTAGCTTAAATTGCACCCAGATAATTGCCATCTATTTCAAAGAACACGGGACAAGGCAGAATTCGACGACGATATATGGTATTGTAATTCTCCACTATGAGTAAATAAATTACAGGAGATGATGAAGGTAATTTCGAAATCTGCAGATTCGTGTCGATTGTACACCAACCACAGTACAGAGCGTTGGCGTGCAAAGTCCTTCATTCGGCCGAAGTTGAGATAAGGCATATCATGTACCTGTCACCAAAACGATGCGAGAATCAGATCTTACATTAACAAACTTAGCTTAGAACAACGACAAAACATATCAGGAATACTGTCACAAAACTTTGGTTATACCAAAGATGTATCCAGGTCAGATGTTTGGACTGAGGTCGCCGTGCCGGCCGCCGTACATGATACACCACCTTGTCCAGCCTTGTCTCAAACTTCGGTTGAACCAAGTACCGCTGAACGTCAAATGTAATATATTGACTAGTTTGTGGCTTAACGTAAAATTAGGCAGACCATAGACTCTGGTCAGTCAAAATGACTATTTTGAACTGTAGGCATTAATCAGCGATTCTGCCGATGACGGAGAGATAGAACCTAGGTCAGGGAAAGCCCCATGACCCCAAGATTCTCTTTCCCTTACGTCATGAACCATGTGACCGAGGCCATATGGCAGCGTCATTAACAGTTGTACAATCACTCTGGTTCCTTTCTCTCCGCCTCAAGGACTTACAGAAAGAGTGGGGTGGTTGGGGGGGGA